TTAGCCAGTGCACTGTACTAGATTTTCCATTATATTTTTAGTTTTAATTAACTAGTCTATAATTACTATACGCACATCTCTATTTTCAATTGATTTAATTAGGCAGTCCATTATGATATAATTTCCATACCTTCTATTTAGCCATTCTTCTACCATTATTACAGATGTCCCACGATTCGTTGTTTTAATTATCCAAGTTCGCCATCATTATATAATATTTCCAATTTCTCTTTCCTTTTAATTAGCCAGTACTCTGTCATTAAATTATATATTACATTTCTTTCTCCAGTCTTTTGATCAGCCAGTACGATTATATTAGATTTTTCATTTTTCTAACCATTTAGCCAGTCTGCCTTTGTTGTAATAGATTTCCACTTTTTTCCCCCTTCTTCAACGATTTATTTCGATAATCAGCTACCACTATATTAACTATTCTACTTTTTCAAGTTGTGATTAGATTTCCGCTAATTAGATTTTCCACTCTTAGTTTTATAAATTTGTTAGTCCACTATCACTATTATGCAGAATGCGTATATTCGATTTTTCATTCCTTCCTTTTTGTAATTAGCCAATCCACAAAATTCTAATAAAATGCTTAGTGGTTCGTGATCAGCTTAAGTACACATATACTGACAATTGTATTTGAAGAAAATTAACTTTCTACGAACTGAGGAAAACATTATTTTAAAATCAGACAACAACATCCTGATATATAATAATTTGAGAACCTGTTTCTAGTTACGTGTTCTCTGGTAGAGCTATTCGATGATTTTTTATATTTTTCAGAGAAAAACTTTGTTTACACGAACAGTATCCTGGGATGCATGTATTATATGTGTTAAACAAAAGAAAACAATGAAAAATTTGAAAAACTTTGTTTACACGAACAGTATCCTGGAATGCATGTATTATATGTGTTAAACAAAAGAAAACAAATGAAAACCAAAAAAACTTTGTTTACACGAACAGTATCCTGGGATGCATGTATTATATGTGTTAAACAAAAGAAAACAATGAGAAATTTGAAAAACTTTGTTTACACGAACAGTATCCTTGGATGTATGTTATATTTTATGATTACAACCCTGGTTTACTATAGCAAGTTGTATGTTACAGCTGAATGTTATCTTCCTTTGAAAAATTACTGATATTTATCAAATATTTCCCTACTGCCCTAACAATAAAGTATATAATAACAGTTAATCTGTAAATATCTTTTTATGTAATTAGCCAATCTGCTACCTTTATACTGCATACTTCATGGCCTGTGATTCGTTTAAAAATACACATAGACAAAGATCCTACATTATCTAAAGAAAATCAATTTGCGACGAAAATGATTTTTAAAGAAAGTGTAATTTTTCTTCTTAAAGTAATACAAAACTAAATTCGATAATACCGGGTTTTTTATTGTAGTTTTGGATGGCTTTGTACAAATAAAAGTAACATAAAATAATTATCATTGTTAGCCAGAAATCAAGGTCTAGGCAAAGAAAATCTGAAGGAAGAAGACAGGTATAAAGTTCTCAAGGTTAATGTAAAGGTACGTGACTCTGATCTTAGGCTCTTTCTAGTTAGAATGTCGATGTTCAAGGGTGGTTAATGGGAAAATAACCTTGACTCTATAGGTTTTAAAACACGTGGAAAATATGTAAAGGAAACTTAACAACGGTATCCTTCTCCTCCTCCAGGATACAGTACCGTTATTACATCTACTAAACGTTGTGTTGTAAAGCATGCTCGCACTGATGTTTTAGTTTGTCGGTTTCTACTGTTTTTCTTTTTGCCTTAAGTGTATAAAATGTTTAATTTTTCCATTTGAAAAAATGTCCAGCTCAAAAAAGTAGTTTCCTTTTTTAACAAATGTTTGAAAATACTGAAGAAAATTAGACTTTTAAATGCACTGTATATTCTATAATCTAGAAACTAAATAGATCTTTACAGGAGTGATATCATTAGTTCCTTACTGGATGGATGTTCTCTTTTTACTTTTACCTAAATTAAATGTTTTGGTTTGGGCGTATAATCCACTGATAAGTGTTTCACATGCTAACACATTTCTAGGTTACATTTTCCATAATATTGTTCTATTTTTAAATATGTTACATAAGTTTTTGAGAAACAACTTTTAAGCTAGACCTGAAGGCATCCATGACGTCTTAAAATGTTTTTGCGATTTTATAAGCCACTCTTTCTTGAACAGCAATGAAACAACTATAACTGAAAACGTCACTGTTTTACACGCCTACAAATATGGGTAACTAGAGAAATAAAGCATAAAATGTGTTCATGAAAAACGCGGAAAATTTATAATAATACACGAAAATATAATCTGTAGACCCAAAGGAGGTAAAATACAGACGAAAAAGTTTTATATTGTATATCGATTAATAAAATGTAATAAATCTGTAAAAACTGAATTCGATGAAAGAGACAAGAAAGAACAGGACGGGTTCCACGATGCTGAGACAAAACTGTGATTTTAATTTATGATGGATGATATGTCAAAGGATTTTTATATACATATAACAAATAAACTTTCGAAAATGAACAAATTGATCTTTGAAACTAAGTAAAATAGAAGCATAAAGAGTGGACTTTAATAATGCGATTTTTAATTTAATTTAATGTTTATAGTAAGATATTCGAAGATATCAAAAAAAGAGGAAAGAAGAGCAGCAGAAATCATTGGATTACATGTACTCAACCCTACTGAATGTTTACTTCTACAAAACGATTACAGTAAAAAGAATACTTCATTATGTCTTTCCCTTTGCAAATGAAGCACTTTTTACCCTCATATTTGTGCACTAAGTTTGACAGTTTGTAAAATTATTCATGGAGATTGGCATTTACAGATATTGTTTAATATTAATAGAGATAGTGCAAATACTGATAGAGATGTTGAAGATTTACAGATAGACTAATTACAGTAATTGAGATATTATGCTGATAGCAAATGGTGCACTTAATAATGGAGATAGTGATTTGGGAGTTGTATCTCATCATTTACGAGGCCAGGTTGTTTATAAAATGTTTGAATCACCTCAGACGTTCGTTCATATAGAAACTTGAAGCTTACCTACAAAGGAGGGTGTGTAGAAAAAACATTGCTAAGCCTGCATCAGTATGACCTAGAAACCACTTGATGCTAGATACTTACATTTGAGTTAGGCTTCCATTTTGTACTGATTTAACTTTAAAAGTGATGTATCTGTAGAGGTATTTTTTGTTTGTTAAATCTTTGAGAATTCATTTACAAACAAACACAGTAGAAGTTATGCTTAGTATGTTGTACGCGTTTCTATTTTCCAGACAAACAAAACAACTTAATTAAAGGTAAATACCCAGTAAACTAATCACTCTGACCTCATTTGCGGATAGTATTTTGATGTGAGGAACAATAGTTAAGTCAATTATAGTGTTTATATACTTAAATTGATTATGTATGTAATAATAAAATAAAATGTAAACAGATAATAAATATGTTTTCAGAGATAACATAAATAAAAAATTTATATAGGTTGGACAAAAGTTATATATATAAGATATCCTGTATAACGTGTATCAGAAAAAGTTTAAGAAACAGAATAACGAAACGTCGAAACCGAAGTTCACAAAAACTGCGACGATCAAATCTAACTATTCCATCAGACAAGAGTTGCCCAAGTGCTGGCGGTGGGTGCTGTTGACTATCTACCTTTCTTCTAGTATATCAGATCAAAATTTGAGATAGCTATACGCTTGTAGTCCTTATGTATCTATGTGAAAAGTCATGAAACAAACAAACATGTACAGGATTTTGCTTTAGAAATTATCAGTTTCCTATGCCCCCAGAAATTGAATCCATAATTTCACTGATTGATTTGATTTATCCCATTTTTTCCATTCCTTGTCTATTCTTGCCATCATCCCTTCACTTATGGTCAGTACCGATCTTGAACCTCTTCTCTACATGTGGCAGTATTTCGTTAGTGTATTTTGCTCTTCTCAGTTAACAATCCTTTCTGTTCCAGAATCCCAATCTTTTCTCTCACCTTTTCGTTGTTTCTCCTATTCCTGTCTCTGTAGTTTACTTGAAGTACCTGGCCCGGCATGGCCAGGTAGTTAGGGAGCTCGACTAGTAATCTGCGGGTCGCGGGTTCGAATTCCCGTCCCTTTAAACATGTTCGCCCTCTCAGCCGTGGAAGCGTTATAATATGACGGTCAATCCCACTACTCCTTGGTAAAAGAGTAGCCCAAGAGCTGGCGGTGGGTGGTGATAACTAGCTGCCTTAGTGTCTTACACTGCTAAATTAGAAAGGGCTAGCGCAGATGGCCCTCGTGTAGCTTTGCGCGAAATTCAAAAACAATCAAACAAACAAAACCATGATTATCAATACTGTTTATCAAACCCATTGTAAATATTTCCTGGTAGATTTTGATTTATTGAGCTAAATCAATCTACGATTTGTTAAGTTTGATGACAAACTTAGGTCAAGAACAAGGAGCGTTACAAAAAAAAAGATGAGCCAAGAAAAATAAAACCACCATGGGTATATCAGTCCATGATTTGAACTACTGACAGGGATTTGTAATTAGAATTTTCAACCCAAGTGGCATCTTTTGCGCTCGTGAGATAAACTCCAATCATAGCCCTCCCTGATTTTGAATTACTGACTGAATTCGAATAGCTTGATTTGTTTAATGCAAGTCTGAATATGATGGAAATTGAGATAACTTACCGCAAAAGTCTGTGTTAATATTAGTTCCTTTACAAGTTCTAGCATTGTTCAAATTTATTTATCTGCATTTTTGCAAACTTTTACAGAAACGTATCTATTGTAACTTATGTGAAAACAGAGTAAAGACTTAAAGCCTGGTTTTCACTTATATTAAATCTTATACAAAATTTTTCAATTACTAGATTATTGTTCACAGCAATTTTACTGATTTTTATGCTTTATTTTATTAAGAAAAACATTAACACTTACATAAAACATAAAGTTTTTAAATGACGTTCAAGCTCAAAACAAATGTACAATATCTCAAAATAAATAGGAACGAGCAGGCAAGGTTAGAAACGAATGAAAAGTGAAAACACTATCGATCATTGGTGTGTCTACTACTATATATCATACTTATATATCACCAAAACTGATTCCTAACAAAAATAGTAGAATTGTCACCTCGAAGCTCTAAAAGACTATGTTTCAAATAAAATACCTACGCGGTTATCAAGACAATAGTATACAGTAAGACAAAAGCAAAACTATGTTTGGAACTAGATCCATTTTGGACAACTTATTTCAATTGATTCTACTTTATTTGTTTTGTCCTCTTTGCCATGCAGGGTTTTCGTTTTCATATCCTTTTGTAAAGAGTGAGAAGTCTTACATGAGTTCTCCTCTAGTTTATAGTGTTTAAAGTCGAGAAGTTTCGCCTGAGTCTTGATTGGTATGGTAGCTGGAGCATCCATCCCATGATGAAAATAAGATGAACTTTGGTCTGTAGATTGCATCGGGTAATGCGTTAAGACTGGGGAGACTGGATGGTTGTTTGGAGAACTTAAATATAACGAAGGTTGGCCTGCAGGTGATGATAGCGCTCTCTTTGCCCGAACAGCGAAAGTGGAAGTCACTAAGGTAGACACACAAAACACAATTGCTACAACTGAAGTTCCGATGATGTAAAGGATGCACGGCTGTTGTCTGTCAGTCTCGAGACTACGACACACAGTAGATGGTTCGTCCGAAGTTAAAGGAGCTAAAAATACACAAAATTCTTAAAATAAAAGTATAATTTCGAGTAAATTTAAGTTGTGACACTTAAGTTCAACAAAAATGAAAATAACGAATGACTAAACAATTTTCGTACAGTTATTAACGACATACTACCTTAAACAGCTAGCTAGAGGGATGAAAAATACCAATGTCGGTTGCCTTGAAAAAGCTAAAAATATTTCTGAAACTTTCAATGGATTGCTTCCTTATTTTATATATATTAAGTCGAATCATTGACTTTCTTGATCAACTTATAAGATCTTCTAAAAAAATTTTCATCCTATTTAACTTTAACTAGCAACTTTGTAAATATAATTTGGCAAATGTCTATTCTTTTTCCTCTTTTTGAAATATCATAAACAGCTTATGCACTGCCTCTGAACATATTTAATGTCTTATAAAGTTTATCTTGTTCATTCTCGTAATTCAATCAGCTTGGTTAAATTTCCTGATCTAGAGTTCATGGTTTCATGGCACCAGTTTGGAGACTGTATGAAAATTACCGTAACATTTGTATCACACAAATCAGTCCGGTTGTGTTCCATTTGTACGAGTCTTACAATACACTACTGCTGCTGACTGCGCTAAAAAAACATTAACAAATTAGAAACGCTGTAACGTACTAGAAGATTTTTTTAACATTTTGTTTAGATTGAAAGCGTAATATTGGAGATGCGACACAAGATTCAAAGTTTACGAAATGGGTTAGATGAGCACAAAGATTCCGAGTCTTCAGAAAATGGTCAAATAATGAGAGAAGAGGAATGGAAGTCAGACAGAGGATAGGAGAAATCGATAACTCAGTTCTCGGACTGTCCATGTATTGAATTCAGCCTGCCTGATGAGCTCTGGTTTTGCAATAGATAAAGTATAAGTAACAGTATTTTATGATCATTCTTAATAGAAATATGTATTAGTCCGGTACATTGAAGTGTGATTAAAATCATTATCACCCTTATTGTGTTTTAACATCAGCACTGTTACCAAAGAACAAAAAGATGTCTTGAGAACAAGGTTAAATAAACCAATTGATTGATAAACGGTTCATAAGTCGAAAAATCTTGAGCATGCTCAGTCATATCTGTAACGCTTTTTTACGACGTTTCTAGAAGACGCGAAGACAGTCGAGATGAGATCTACAAACACTGTTGAAACAAAATGAATCCTGAATATTCTTGAAACGTTCGTGAGCCGGATAACGTAAACAGTCAAATGTAAGGTAACCAATTAATTCAAACGTATGAAGTAGGACTACTACATAATTGAAAATTCAAATATAGGTAGTCGCCCACACAGATAAGCAGATAAAAAACATAGGAGAAAATTGGGTCGACAGACAGATACATTACAAGATAGATGGACTATTGAACATGTGAACAAACAGATATCTAGCATGGAAGGAAGATTTGACAGACAGTTTGATTGTTATAAAGCATGAAGCTACACAAAGTGCTATCTGTGCTCTGTCCAGCACTGGTATCGAAACCCGGTTTCTAGCGTTTAACTCTGTTTCTCTGCTATGTTTATAGATAAACAACTGTCCAAGTGGCAGGTTTATCTTTAGATACACAATACAAAATAAGAAGAAACATGTTTTAGTATTTAATTAGTTATCTGAAACTTTAAACTGGTAAACTTTGGGACGTTTGAAAGGAAATGGCATTTCTTCATGGTGGTTCAAAGTTCCAACCTGACATGGAAGTGTTCTAGATGGGGAAAATATAGGTCAGTGGAAGAACTTAGTAGAAACGTTTACCGACAGTTTAACAATAAAATGTTATTTTTATTTTATTTTGAACACATTATCTACTTACTTTTGGCATATCCTGGCATTGCAACCGATAGTTGAAAATGCCGATTGAAGTTGCTTGTGGTGTTCTGCCGACGTTTGTCTTCATTATAGTCTTCCACCAGAGACTGATTTATGACGTCACGTTTTCGGCGTCCATAACCTTGTTGGTTGTCATCCAAACAAAGCATCTAGAAAAATATATATTAAGATGTAAGTTTAACTAAAGCTAACTGACTTCATCCTAGACCTGGCATAGCCAGGTGATTAGGGCGCTCGATTCCTAATCTGTGAATCGCGGGTTCGAATCCCTGTCCCACCAAACATGCTCGCCCCTTCAGCCGTGGGGGCGTTATAATGTAACAGTCAATCCCATATTCGTTGGTAAAAGAGTTGGCGGTGAGGCCTTCCGTCTAGTCTTACACTGCTAAATTAGGACGGCTAGCGCAGATAGCCCTCGTGTAGCTTTGCGCGAAATTCAAAACAAACAAACTGACATCATCCTCAATTTTGAACAACTTATTGAGGGAAAACAGACAATCACCATCACCTTACAACCTACCATCCACGATAAGGGATTGGTCGTCGCTGTTATACGGCACCCGCTTAAAATGCGGAGTAAATTTTGTGATATCACACGGACTCGAACTTGGCTCGCCAGCTCCGAAATCCATAGATCTACCACAAGGTCAACCCACCCCTGTAAAGTAAAAATATATTGCATTTACGATAAGAGATTATTTAATATAAACACGCATCTACTTTGGTAAATTTAAAAGGTTGGTTAGTTTGGGAAAGCATTTCAGTTTTTAATAACAGTCCCTTTCAACTCCTACCAAAGCATATTACTTTAAAATTTAAAACGAACAAGAACGTATATTTTCAGGTTATGAGACTTTTGAATTTTTATGCATCTGATGTACACAGCGTGGTCACAAGTAAATAGACACCACCTTTTCAGAAAAAAAATGAAAATTTTCAGTCATATTCGCATGAATTGATATATTTATAATTTAATTAGTATCTAGTAGATCTTCCTTTCGCTTCGTGGAGTTCGTTGATCCTTTGGGGCATCGTGAGAATCATCTCGTCAATTTTAGATTGTGAGATTTTCGCCCACTCTTGCTTCAAAACTTGGAGTAGATCGCTCTTTGAAGTTGTTGTTTTTTGTTGTTTCTTGACTTGCCAGTCGAGTATGGCCCAAAGGTTTTCGATGGGGTTCATGTCAGGAGATTGGCTCGGCCAGGGCAACTTCTGGATACCATTTTCTTCCTGTCACTTTTGGGTGTTTCTAGCAGTGTAACACGGTGCTCCATCTTCCTGGAACAACGTTGTGTTCTTGTCCACGAAACCCGAGGAATAAAGTGGCAAGAGTCCTTCCTCCAATATTTCGACGTATTTCGCAAAATTTATGTTGCCAACGCACTCCACTAAGC